CACGCAATCGCTGCGAGTTGCGTTGACGATAGGCCTGAATCGAACTCTTCTCTTAAATCTTCATTTTCATTTTATATTTGGGCAAAAGGGTCTTGTAGGGCCGTCTAAATATATATTCCCCCCCACCCAACTGTCTTACGGAATTGGTTGTTAAACGTTTAATTCTTGGTTGACACGGGCAAATGAATATTTAATTGTGTTGAAAGTGATCAAAGAATATTAAATTAAAGCCACTTATGATTCTTTTAATGGGCTAAATAAAATCAACTTCATCAACATAAACTCCTGTTGCTCAGGCAACTGATGCCTATTGATGAAAACGCGACCTTATATTGGTGGAATTTAAGGAAAAAGGGAAGGTTAGGCCACTGAAAATGTAAAAGTAGTTTATTATTATAAGTCAAAGGGAAATAGGACCTCTAAAGACAGTCCTACTTATATTTTTATTCAGCGCACGCTAAGTCCTAATCCCGGCCAGTAAGCTAATACATTTGTTCCACCTATTATGACAATAGCTTTTTACTTCAGGCAAATGATATTCTTACAGTAACTCAACCACGAGGTAGTTTGTAAATAGCTATCCAAACGTTGTACCTAATTGCTGGTTGAAAAAGAAAATGGGATAGCCGAAAGATTGAAGTATTAAGAATCATGTGGCATTTTTTTACTCTAGATTAACGGAATTCTTTGCTATGTATGGTTAAGATATCGCCATCGTGCCAACCAACAAGGCACGTCCCACCGTCGCTTTGGACAGATCGGACTGCCTTCAGAAGGCCAAAAACTTACTGAAGGATGGCCAGTTTGATGCCCCACGCAACACGTTCCCCCTCAAAAGGCTGACACGCGAAATTGATGTAACCCTGTTAGCATTAGAGGACTCTGCTGCAATAACACCGACGGGCCGACGCATGGCGCGAGTACAAGAAACAGCTTTGGTCCACTGCTATGCCCTCCCCAAGGTGCATAAGGAGAGCACTCTCCTCCGACCCATCGTATCGTTAAAGGCGCTCCAAAATATGAACTGACAAGGTGGCTGTTTCGGCGTCTCAAATTTCTGACCGTTGATTCGGACACCACGGTCTGTTTATCCATACAATTCTTGGAGAAACTTAAAGGGGTAAGTCCCCTGCCAAGTGAGGTCATGGTATCCTTTGATGTGACGTCTCGTTTTACTTATATTTCCCAGGATCTGGCAGTCGAGACCGTCCCACTACTCCTACGAAGCAAATACGATGAGATGGAGAGTCGCCTCAGACACGCCCATATCCTACAGCTCCTGAAGTTCTGTCTCAAGACGTGCTTCAGGTTCGACAGAACAACCTACGAGCAAGTGAAAGGAATAACGAGTTCATTGATTTACGGGCTTATAGCTGAGGCGGTCCTATAACGGGTAGTTTTTGGTCTTCCAACACCATATACCGAAATTATGGGCGCGATATGCGAATGATACCTTCGTCGTCATTGAACGGGATCAGGTTCTCACGCTCAAAGAACGCCCCAACGGAGTCTTCGCGGACATATAATTAACGATGGAGAAGGAAGAAAAAAACCAGTTGAATTTGATTGATGTCCTCGCCTGTCGCAAAGATTGTGGTGGG